CCTTTTGTTTGAACTGTTTTATTGAGGAGTAACTGATATGCAGTATATTGCATATATTTAAAATGTAAAATTTGATAAGCTTTGGCATATACCTATGGAACCATCAACACAATGAAGATATATATCCATCACCTCCAAAAAAGTTAGTTTTCGTTTGTAATTCCCTTCCGCCAGCCCCAACAGCCCTACTGATCTTGCTTTAAATTAAATTAAATTGTATTTTATATGTAAGTACTTTTCTTTTGGTTTGGCTTCACTCAGCACTATTTCCTGATTCATCTGCTTTCCTTCTATCAGTAGTTCATTAGTTATCAATTAGTTCAGTAGTCATCAATAGTTCAGTACTATTGTCAAATAGTAGAATCTGTTTTAAGACTTGAGATGAGTGTATTCACCTTCCATTCCCCAAGATAGAGGAGCGTTAGGGTGAGACTTGCCTGGGACTTGAGGTTGTGTTCGTTTAAGATGACTGGGGCAACTGGACATGGTAGTGCATGTCTTTAATCCACGCTACTCAGGAGGCAGAAAAGGAGAATCACAGTCCAAGACTGTTCCCGGCAAAAGCATTAAGACCCTATCTGAAAAACAAAGTAAAAAGAGCTGGGAGATGTGGCTCAAATGATAGAACACTTGCCTAGCAAATGCATCATCCTGAGTTCAATCCCTAGGACCTCAAAAAAAAAATCATCTTTGTATTTTAATGTTAGTATAATTCTCAGTACATAGAAAGTAATAATCCAATGCGGGGCCAAATAAAGTTTCTCCCCTTTTTTGTTCTCTATCTATCTGTTTGGTAGGGCTGGGGTTTGAATTCAGGACTTTGTGCTTGCAAGCAGGCACTCTACTGATTGAGCCACATCTCTGCTCAATCAGTAGAGTGTGGTTTTAAAATATACAATCACACACACACAATTCCACCCTTAAAGATTTGATCAGGTGAAAGTGAGATTAAATAAGATTTTTTTTTGTACGCTCTTCTAATAATTATTTTTCATTTCTTTTAAAGAACTTTTTGTCTTGGTCAAGAATTCCAGAATAACTGTGCTTTCCTCATTAAGGGTATTTCACTTGTATGTTATTTTTTAAAGAGATTCATGTGGCTCTTAATATAAAAAAGGTTTTACTCCCCTCTATCCCTGTGTGTCCCATTGCTACCAGTTATTTGGCTATGTTCCTTCTGCTGTGACCCAGGTGAAGCTCTTCCAGTACTAGTAATCCCAAACTCTTGACAGTTTTTGTAATCCTCTGCAGACTGGGGCAGCAGTAAGTGACACCCTCAAATGTTACGGCTATGTTCAGGCCCTGGGTGCTACAGCCACAAGTGTTAAAGTTCTTAGAAACTCTTCCAGCAATCAGGGCCTGCATTTTCTCTTCTCTCATTCTTCACAGCTCCACCGCTACTGCTGTCACTGCCACCACCACTCCAAGCCAAAAGCATAAGACCCTATCTAAAAATAACTAAAGCAGGGTGGAATGCAGTGACTCATGCTTATAATCCCAGCCACTCAGGAGGTAGAGATTGAGAGGATCATGGTGCCAGGCCAGGCAGAAAGTTAGCAAGACACCATCTCAACCAATAAAGCTGGGTGTGGTGGCATGCCCCTGTCATCTCAGGTACATGGGAGGCATAAATAGAATCACAACCAGGCAAAAAAATAACTAAAATCAAAGAGTTGGGGGGCATGGCTTGGATAGTAGGGACGAGGACCTGAATTCAGACCCTAGTACTGCCCTCCTCCCAAAAAATAAAGCAAAAAAGGCTGAGAACATGGCTCAAGACCCTGAGTTCAAATAAAAAAATCAAATGTCTGAGTTTAAAAAAAAAGAAATCTCCAGCACAAGATGTTAAGACAGTCATGGCTAGAACAGTGCCTTTAGGAGCCAGAGTTGTGCTTCCACAGCAAGCAGTTGTGATTGCTGTGTAGCAACCTCAAGGTTTCCATGAAGTGCTCAAAGCAGCCAGTCCTGACATGAGGGCAGTCTAGCTGGCTTCTTGGGTCTACTAGACAACATATGTTCTACAAATGAGCTATCTCCCCAGCCCTTTAACATGTCTTATTCTCCCTTGTTAACGGTTTGGATCTTAAATGTCCACCAAAAAGTTCATATGTTGAAGGCTTGCTCCTCAGCTGATGGTGCTACTGGGCAATGATAAACTTTAGAAGGTGAGTCTTAGTGGGAGGAAAGTAGGTCACTTAGGGGCTTGCCTTTGAAAGAAATATTGAGACACTGGCCTCTTTCTCCTCCTGTCCTCACTTACCTTTCCCTCCCTTCCTTTTCTGCTCTCTTCCTGGCTACCATGAGGTAAACATTTTGAAGATAAGAAACAATTTAAATGCCTTTAGTTTGTTTTTCTTGCCTAATTGCTCTAATTTGGATTTCTCCTACAGCACTGAATAGAAATGTTGGGAATGTGTACCCTTTTCTTGTTCCTAATTTTAAAGGAAAAGCTTAGCAGCTTTTCACTGTTGAGTGTAATGTTAGCTGTGAGCTTGTCATATAAGGCCTTTATTATGCTGAGATACAGCCTTGTGTACCTTTAGGTGGGGAATGGTGGCTCACATTTGTAATCCCAGTTACTCAGGAGGTGGAGATCAGAAAGATTGTGGTTTGAGGCTAGCCCTGGCAAAAAGTTAGCAAGACTCCATCTCAAACAATAAACTGGGCATAGTAGTGTCTATTTGTAACCCCAGCCACTTGGGAGGCCAAAGGTAATAGAATTGTAGTCTGAAGCGAGCCCTTAGCAAAAATTCACAACCCTACATGAAAAATAACTAAAGCAAAGAAAGGGCCAGGGACATAGCTTAAGTGATAGAGAGCCTGCCTAGCAATTGTGAGACTCTGAATTCAGATTCCATACCACCAATAACAGTTATAATAATAATAAGGAAAGAATTCTTTGTTATCCTATGATGATTGTACTAATAAAAATAAAAAAAGCTAACCAGGCGCTGGTGGCTCACGCCTGTAATCCTAGCTACTCAGGAGGATCATGGTTGGAAGCCAGCCTGGGCAAATAGTTCATGAGACCCTATCTCAAAAAAAAAAAAAAAAAACCTTAACAAAAATAGGTCTAATGGAGTGGCTCAAGGTCAAGGCTCCTTGTACTGAGTTCAAGCTCCAGTACTGAAAAAAAAAAAAAAGCCCGAGTAAAGCAGACAGGATCACACCTTCAAGTAAGGATGGATGAGGATGATCTCAGGCTTTCTAACTGAAAAGATGTCAATTGGTTATTTATTTGATCATTGTGTATTGATACAAAAGAGAGACACACTGACCACAAGCTCCTCCCGCAACAGTCTTATTAGATTATACTTTTGTAAGGGAAATTTGTTACCAGGTTTGACTACTGTGTTCATTAAAACTAAAAATTTATAATGTTGAGTTTAAGCCAGTATTAACTTTTTTGTTGCTATTTTTAATTTTTGTGACACCTGAAGATCAAACCCAGGGGCTCATGCACTCTACCACTGAGCTATACACCTTCAGTCCTTTATAACTATTTTAGTCTGTGCTCTCTTTGGAAGGTGTGATCTTATTTCCAAAAATATTATTCCCAGAATTGAATGTGCTTGCTTTAAGTTATCCTTTTACCTCCCTACCTGAAAATCACTAGTTTGGGCCTTAATGCAGCAACCCAAAGCAAAATAATATTTAAGTAGTGACTATTAGACTTAAGGAAATGTATTTCATTTCAAAGTATTTGGGGATAATGCAGTATGTTCAGGGCAGTGTGAAATAACTCAAACTAAAGGTCTTCTAGAGCATAGTGTTGTGACAGAATCAGAATACATCAGTTTTTGTTTTGGGGTTGGCTTTTTTTTTTTTTTTTTGCAGCACTGTGGTTTAACTCAGGGCCTCATGCTTGCTAGGCAGGCGCTCTACCATTTGATCCACATCTCTAGCCTCCATCAGTAATTCTTAGAGTAGACTAATAAATATCATTATATAAGCACAAATTTTAGAATAAAGTTATTTTAGCTGTTTCATGTTTCTACCACTACAGAGGAAGCAAGAAGTAAGGTCTTAATGCCTGTGGGTATTATTTCCTTTCTTTGGTCAATGGACCTTGTTTATTAACATAAAGTGCTTTTGTAGAAAATATTTCGGTAGAATGTTGGTCAATAAAGATAATAGTAATAACCAATATTTAAATTATTGTGAAATTGAAGGTATTTTTATTCTTGCTTCTGCTTAGAATTATATTATTAGACCTTAAGGACAACTTAGAAAGCACTGAGCTCTGTATTAATGTCTGTGAAACTATCTTTTGAAGGCTATCTTACATCTTTGTTACAAAACTTATTCAATGGTTAGAAGTTTCTTGAAAACAATTCTTTACAAAATCATGTCATCATAATAATAATAAAAAAAAAAGTCATGTCATTTTGTATAAAGCTGAGGGCTGAGGGCTGAGGGCTGAGTGCTTTTCTCAGTGGTAAAGCACTTGCCTAGCATGTTCAGGGCTTGGGTTCTAGTCCCAGCACCACCAAAAAAAAAAAAGATAAAAGAGAGTGAACAAAGCTAATACAAGCAACCTAGGTATCCCCTTGGGTCTATTTTTGTTAGGGACAACTTTGTAGTTGATGCTTATTCGAATGGCTGCTGAGCCAAAGGAATTTAATACAATAGATATTGTTTTAGAGGCAGAAATGAGTACTCTTTACCAGGATGCAGTTGCTGTTTAAGACAATGGAAAATGCATTTTTGTGTATCTAGCATAAACCCATTTTGGATTTATGAAAAATGGGCATCCAGCCGGCTAACAGGACCAGGCCCTCTGTTACGTTTGAAGTTCAAGATCTTCTGTCTTGTGTCAGATGCTTTTCTTCCTAACTTGAAGCCCTTTTGTGGATAACATACCTGCTGTTGTCATAGGTGTGAAATAAGCATTTACACAAAGTGTTAAAATTTTAATACTTCAAAAATTTGATTTCTTTCTACCAAGATATTCTATGGGCTGATTTTAATACCATCTTTCTCCTTTTTTCTTTTTTCAGCTCTGCTTATGATAATTTCAACAAAGTTCGAGTAGCTATCAAGAAAATCAGCCCTTTTGAGCACCAGACCTACTGCCAGAGAACGCTGAGGGAGATAAAAATCTTACTACGCTTCAGACATGAGAATATCATTGGCATCAATGATATTATTCGAGCACCAACCATCGAGCAAATGAAAGATGTGTATCCTTTTCTGGCAGCTAGCTAATTTCATTGCTTGGTCACCTTCTTGAGTAACTTGAAAATTCCTAGATTTATCAGAAAAGTACATAAAGCACATGTAAGGGGAATAATGCTTGCCACTTAGTGTATCACCTAAGTTTTCTCTCTGATTCATTTTATCAGTCATTGGTAATTTAACTTCAGTATGTTTTAGATTAAATAAGTCCAGCATTTTCCTCTGTCAGAATCAGTAAAGATTTTCTTTAAGTGTGGTTATGGAAAGTCTTGGTTAATGTCATTTCTAGTTGTGTGTCATCCTTTGGATTATTTTTGTGTTTGCGTGTGTGTGGTGCTGGTGTTTTTTTGAGCTCAGGGCTTTGTGCTTGCTAGGCGCCTGCTCTACCACTTGAGTCTCACCTCTAGTCGTTTTGCTTTAGGTTACTTTTCAGATAGGGTATCACTTTGTCCAAGGCTGGCCTTGGACCAGCATCCTTCTACCTATGGTCTCCCTCCTAGGCCTCCCACATCGGCTTGCACCACCATACCTGGCTTGTTTGCTGAGATGGAAGTCTCACCAACTTTACCTTGAACCATGATCCTCCTGAGCTCTGCCTCCCAAGTAGCTGGGATTAAGGCTTGAAACACCACACCAGGGCTTAACAGATGGTTGTTACAGTAAAAAGGGAAAGGAAAGAGCACTTGAATAAGAAAATGGACACCCTAGGTAATCCACCTGGTCAAATCAATACTGTTCTAATGTTAGACATGCAGTTTCCTCAACTTTAAAACGAAGAAACTGGGCCTCATGATCTTCAAGGCTGGGCCAGCACTGGAATTATGCCAGTAACTCTGGCCAACATTCAAATCTGGACTAAGCAGGTCCAGAGAATGGTGCCTGTACAATGGCTGCATGTGAGAGGTAGAGGTCTTAAGCATAGTAAAAAGGGTCAGCCACAAGTGAGAAAGTTAACATTCAGGTTAATGTAGCATTTCATATCAGTTTGTCCAATTTGCAATCCATCCCTCTAGACAGCAGCAGCTCACTGTCTCTAAGCAGCTCTTTCCATTTTTAAATAGCTCTGTTAATAAGTTATAATGGTATTTTAAGTGAATGCCTCCTGTCGCTACCACCTGTTGGTCTTGCTTTACCTTTCACCATGAAAATAAGCTTCTTGCAGATGACAGGCTTTTTTAAGTCTTTTATCACATGCTGCAGCTCATCTAGCATGAAACATAACAGTATTTGTGCACAAATGAATAAAATGCAAAAACACCACTAATGAAATTATATTATGGTGAAGTTAAAAGCTAAAGGCTTTAATTTTGTTTTAGGTGCTTAGATATGTGGCTAGGCAAAAAAAGCAAGAGGAGTAAAAACCAGCACAAACCCTGTCCTTAGCATTACTACTTTGGGTCTCATTTATATAGATAGAAATTTAACAGCAATCAAAGAATTTAAAAAAAAAAAAAACTAAGGGTTGGATTTGTAGCAGTGTGTTTCTAGGCCCATATTTCCAAAGGTTTTTAATGGTTGGTCATTAAGAAATGGAAGATGAAGGGTGGCAACAAGAAGGAAGGGAAAAAGAGTAGTGATATTATAGATTGCTGCTTGGCCAAAGAGATGGGGAGCATTTGATGCTTGCTGGCCACCACCCTCTAAGCTTTGGAGAAGGTTTGTTGGAAGCAGACAGTTTGGAGACCAGGGAAGTTGAGACTCAAGGTTGGCCAATATTTCTGTTTCTGGTCACAGTCTAGACCCATATCCAGCCATATCAAGCAGGCATAATGCCTATTGTTTTATAGGACCTAAACAAAGAGTTAACTTCAGATTTCTTCCATGGAAGTTTTCTTCAGTTTCTTCATTCCCTTGTAGGTTGCATGGTATTAATACTAATGGGCTGTTTAGAAGAAGGGTAGAGAGAGGGTGAATATTGTTTTCAGTGCTTTGCTATGTGTAACTATTTGGTGTTTTACCTTAACCTGTCCAAACAGATATATAGTACAGGACCTCATGGAAACAGATCTTTACAAGCTCTTGAAGACACAACACCTCAGCAATGACCATATCTGCTATTTTCTTTACCAGATCCTCAGAGGGTTAAAATACATCCATTCAGCTAATGTTCTGCACCGTGACCTCAAGCCTTCCAATCTGCTGCTCAACACCACCTGTGATCTTAAGGTAGCTGGGTTGTTTACTTGTAGGGTGGTAAATATTGAAAAATCTTTTACTGAAGTATGGTTATATTTATCATTATTCATATTTAAAATTACACCAGAAATATCTGGAAACATTTTTATGAATAGACATAGATTAATGGAAGAGAAGCGAGCATCAGTAAATAAATCTGTCTTTACTGATTTTTGACAAGGGTATCAAGACCACTCAGTGGGGAAAGAATAGTCTTGAACAGATGATGCTGACTGAGACTCCTGTGTTAGCCATATGCAAAAGAATGAAATTGAATCTTTTCCTTGTACCTATACAAAAATTAACTCAAAACTTAAATTTAAGAACTAAAATTTATAATACTATTAGAAAACATAGGAATAAATCTTTGTGATCTTGTGTTAGGCATTGACATCAAAAGCATGGGGAACAAAAGGAAAAAACTGAATTGGGTTCTATCAGGCTTTAAAACCTTGACCTACAAAGTAACCCGTGAAAAAAGTGAAATGACAACCTATAAAATAAACGAAGATATTTGTAAGTCATATAGATGAGGGACTCATAGCTAGAATCTAGTTGACCCTGTGCACCCATGGGTTCAGCATCCACAGGTTCTGCATCTGGATTTGTCCAACTTTAGATAGAAAGTATTTGGGGAGAGGAGAACACATCTGTACAGACATGTACAAACTTTTTCTTGTCATTATCCCCTAAACAGTATAATAACTATTTATGTAACATTTACATCATTTTAGATATTATAAGTAATCCAGAGATTACTTTAAGTGTGTGGGAGGATGTGTAGAGGTTGTATGCAGACATTATTCCTTTTTTACATAAGGAATTTGAGCATCCATGGCTTTTAATATTCTCAGGATCCTGGAACCATTCACCCTCAGATATTGAGGGATGACTATGTATGAAGAACTCTTACAACTCAATGATAAAAAGATAAATAGTCCAATTTAAAAATGGCTAAAAAGATCTGAATGGGCTTTAAAGAGGATATTCAGATGAGCGATAAGAAGATGAGAAGCTGCTTGGCATCATTAGTCTGTAGGAAAATAAATGTAAATCAAACCACAGTGAGGGCTGGTGGAATAGCTCAGGTGGTAGTGTGCCTGCCTAGCAAGCATGAGGTCCTGAGTTCAAACCCCAGTACCATGAAACAACCATGCACACACAATGAGATAGCACTTCACACATGCTAGGATGGCTGTGATCAAAAGGCAAGATTAACAAGCACTGCAAGGATTCCTAAGAATATACCTAAGTGAAATGAAAATGTGTATCCACACAAATGTTCATAGCAATACTATTCTTATAGCTAAAAAGTAGAAACAGTCCACATGGCCAATTAATGATGGATAAATAAAATGTGACAGATCCATACAATGAATTACAAAGGAGTTAAGTACCGACACTGCTACAATATGAATGAATCTTACAAACATTATGTAAATGAAAGAAGCTAATCAGAAAAGATACCATAATCCCATTTATAAGATATTTAGAGTTGGAAAATCTATAGAGACAAAAAAGTAGATGAGTGGCTGGGTCCAGTGGCTCACGCCTGTAATCCCAGCTACTCAGGATACAGAGATCAGGAGGATCGTGGTCCAGAGCCAGCCCAAGGCAAATAGTTCTCAGACCCCTATCTTGGGGTGGGGGGGGAACAAAAACAGTACAAAACAGGGCTGGTGGAATGGCTCAGGTGGTAAAGCACCTGTCTCACAAGCCTAACAAGCATGAGGCCCTGAGTTCAAGTTCATGGTAATACAAAAAAAGAAGAAAGAAAGTAGAAAAGTAGTTGCTTATGGCTGGTAGAGTTAGGAGATGAGTGGGAAGGGAATGCTAATTCATTGGAGTGTTTTTTGTTTGTTTTGTTTTTGTGTTACTAGGGTTTGAACTCAGGGCCTCCCACTTGCTAACTAAGCACTGTACCACTTGAGCCTCATCCCTAACCATTTCTTTTCAAGGTTATTAAAAGTGTTCCCAAATTGGATAGTGGTAATAGTAGCATAATCCTGTGATTATAATACCAACAAACATTGAGGTGTGAACTTTTAGTGGGTGAATTGTATGGTATATGAATTACATCCCAGTAAAATCATTTAAAAATACATAGCTATTTAGGAATAATCATTTCTTGGGTTTTCATTCTAGCATATGTTCCTCCATGAAGCTCTATTAGATACACTAGTCCAAGGAAATGAGTGTCTGCCTCTGAAATAGGAAAACTGATAGATCAGAAATCTGATGAATAGTAGGTATTTGTATTAGTATGTATTAGAACTGAGGTACAGAAAAGAATGGTGTACAGATACAAAGGAGAGAGGTGGGCCAATTCTGGCTGTAGGTGTGAGGCAACAGGGAGATAGTGGTATCAGTGCTAATCCTCTGAGAATGAGCAGGTTTTCAGTAGGTGAGTGGCTATGTTGGGCATAGAATATGTTAGGCAAAAAGGAACAACATAAATAAAAGAAATAAGGGACTAGAACACAAAGCATCAAGTTCTCTTCTGTGTATGTGCAACATTGAGTGTGTACCACCAAGCTAGAGAGCTTAGTACTAGGTCATGGACAACCTTCTCAGCTTTCTGCATGCTGGGATTACAGGCATGCACTATTACACCTAGCAAAGTATAGCCCATGTTACCCTCGAACTCTCTATCTTCCTGCTTCATGCCACCCTGGCTGGCTGCACTAGTGCTTTTAAAGTGGATATAGGTAGTGTATCATCTACATGGGTATAAATATTCAGGAGAGTACCTCATTCCTAAGGAGAGAGTGATGTGCTACTGAGGTCGATGATTTGCCACTGAAAACATATCCTAACAGGACAAGGTGCAGTGGCAATTCCGTGTGTATATATGACACTTAAGAGTGCCAGTGGGGAGGAGAATCTTTTTCACTCAGGCTCTGAAATCATTGCTGGCTCACATCCTCAGTATTTTGTGGTGACCATGATGCCTATCTCACAGGTTCCTATGCCTAGAAACATTATAGCCTGCAACCTTACCTGACTCCCTGTTATTTAGGCCCTTTTGAATTTCCAAGCAGGCAGTTTTGTCATTTCTTCCTTTTTACCATTGGCTTCTGTGTTACTAAAGTATTTCCTACTCTTGAGCACTCAAAATATTAGTTATTCTCAGTGATTTAGATCTTTTAAGTTTTGGCTCTGGTGCCAAAGCCAACAAAAATAAAGCTTGTTGGGGGTGGGGGGGTAGGTACTGGGATTTTAACTCAGGGCCTTGCCCTTGGTAGACAGGTGCTCTACCACTTGAGCCATGCCCCCAGCCTATAAGCTTATTTTTATTTGTTTGTTTTCTATAAATGCTTATCATCTGAAGTCCTGAGTCCTAGATGAGGTCTCAAACTGTTTGCCTGGGCAGACCTCGAACCATGATCCTCCTGATCTGAGCCTCCTAAGTAGCCAGGATTTCAAATGTGAGCCACCAGTACCCAGCCCTAATTGGAGTTTCTGCTGGCATATTTTTAATGAAACTGCCAAGGAGATGTTGTCTATACAAGTCTATATTCCTGTTGTTTGCTAGACTAACTTTGCAGTCCATGCGATTCTGGGTGTACCTATGAAGAGCAGTACAAAATGAAACAAGTCTGTAAGACTTCCTTTGTTTTATGAAAATTTGCATTTACACAGTGCAGAAAGTACTCAGAGGAGTGCTAATGTTCATTGGTCATTTTATGTTTCTTGTACCATATACTAGTTGTGTATCTTCTTTTGTGTGGAATTATTCTGAGCACTGTTGCTTTTCTGTATTGTAGGTTTGGTGGTTTATTTGTTAATGCTATATAAATTTGGTTAGTCTTTGGTATTAAAATGTAAGAAAATTTGGAAGAGTGAAGAAATGACATGAGAACCCTGTACTGGGTGTAGGAGATACAAATGATAAAACGTGGTCTCTCTTATACCACCTCAATTGGTAACTAAAGGGAAAGGATTAAACATTTTTCCTGTCTTTCTAGTAGGAAATCTGCTAGTATCTGCATATCAGGGTAAGCAAATAGCCACAGTTGCTAATCCACAGCCCTTCTTTTAGAAGAATGCCAGCTAATAAATACAGAGGAATAATAAAATTAGAAAAGTCACCATTTAGCAACCTCAAGTGAAATGATTGATTTGTCCAATACCATTTTTCTTGTATCCCAGTCCTTCCTCTACCACACCCCTCTTTACTCACACTTTAGGCTGTATCCTAATTTTGAACCTTCTCTTAACTCCATTTGTACACTGTATTCCCCACCAGTCTACTGTCCCTCTCCCGATCCCGTGGAGACTTACATTGCATGACCTGACTTAAAGACTCAGATTGAATTGATTAGGGGCAAAAGACAAGGAGGAGCAACTACACATTTAGGGTTTTTTGTGTCTTTTGCTTTGCTTTGCTCTGTGCGTACCGGGGTTTGAAGGGTCTTCTGCTTTTTGTCTAGACCTCAGTCTCTGTCTCCTGTATGGTTGGGATTACAAGTGTGTACCACCATGGCTGGCCTCAAACCATGGTCCTCTGATCTCTACTTCCCTTTTAACTGAGATTACTGGTGCACGCCATCATGCCCAGCCTCTTTTTAAGGGTCTCCTAGCTACTCAGGAGGCAGAGAGCAGGAGGATTACAATTAGAAGACATCCTCAGGCAAATAGTTCAAAAAACCCATCATAAAAAAGGCAGAATGGCTCATTTGGTAAGAGCACCTGAGGCCCTGAGCTCAAACCCATTGCCAAGGGGAAGGAAAAAAAAAAAGATAGGGTATCACTATGTAGCCCAGGAACTCTCTGTGTACTTCAGGCTGGTGTCAGAACTTGACATCCCACTGGGCACTGGTGGCCCATGCCTGTAATCCTAGCTACTCAGGAGGCAGAGATCAGGAGGATCACAGTTCGAAGCCAACCCAGGCAAATAGTTTGTGAGACCCTATCGAAAAAACCCTTCGCAAAAAAAGGACTGGTGGAGTGGCTCAAGGTATAGGCCCTGAGTTCAAGTACCAGCACTGAAGAAAAAAAAAAAAAACTTGACAACCTCCTACCTCAGCCTCCCAAGTGCTGAAAGTATAGTTATGTAACACCATGCCTGGTAAAATGCTTTTGGTTTTGTTTGGTTTTTTGTTTTTTTCTCTTGTGGTGCTGGGGATTGAACCCAATCAGGCAAGTTTTCTACCACTGAGCTACATCCCCAGTCCCCATATTTACTTTTAATTTTAAAGTAACAGACATACTGCATCATTCAAGTCATCAGGTATCTTTTCCTAGTGAGTTTATCATAATTTTTAATTTTGTCATCTTCTTTACCATTGCTACATTGAAAAATTTTATTACCATTATTAATTATTGTGAGGTTTTTAACCTGGTATTATATATCGTGATTTTTATTTTTAAAGATTATTAGGATTCAGATATTGTGAAAAATATTACTGGAGGCTCTGCCAATTACCGCCCCAGTGTTGTGCTTCCCAAAAGCACTTAAAGTAAGGTATTTATTCATCAGACGTTGAATGTTCACTGTGTATGGGACTCTTAGGAATAAAAAGTAGGTCAAGTATTGCCTTTTTCTAGGAACTTAATATTCTAACTGAGGAGACATTTGCACAGCTGTTTATCATGATTGTGGTTATATACTTTAATACAAGTGTAAAAAAGTAGTAAGGGAGTTGATGAAAGTAAGCAATTAATTCTTAGCGGTGGTATTGATTTCTGGGAAGGAAGTGATTTTTTCAGCTGTATATTTAGGAATGTGGAATGGCAGAAGGTAGAGATCTGGAGTAAATAGAATAAAAAGTAATGGTGAAGTATAAGAGCTGGGAAGGTAGCTTAATGGCAGTTTGAGAGTGGTCTTGAAAGTCAGGTTTAAAGAGTTAGGTCTTTTACTGGGCATGGTGTCGCATGCCTTTGATCCCAGTTACACTGGAGGTTGAGGTGGAAGGATCCCAGTTTGAGGCCAGCCTGGGCAAAAGTTAGTGAGACTATCTCAAAAAACAAGTCAGATGTGTGATGTCATACGTGGGAGGCTGAAGCAGGAGGATGGTCCAAGGCCGAGCTCATGCAAAGGTGTGAGACCCCTACTGAAAAATAAACGAAAGCAAAAAGGACTGGGGGCATGGCTCAAATGATAGAGCACTTGGACCCTGAATTCAAACCCCAGTATCACCAAAAAAAAAAAAAAAAAGTCATTCAAGGAGGCAGAGGGGCTTGGTTAGAAAATTTTTTTTTTTCAATACTGGGGTTTAGAGTTCAGGGCCTTATGCTTGGTAGGCAGGTACTGTACCACTTGAGCCACTTGCCAGCCCTGTTTTATATTGGGTGTTTTCGAGATAGGGTCTTGATCGTGACTTCAAACCTTGATCTTCCTGATCTCTACCTCCTGAGTAGCTAGGATTACAGGCATGAGCTACCAGCACCTAACTGTTAAGATTTTTGAGCCAGAGAGATGAGTATTATTTTAGAAATAGCACTTAGGTGGGAATTTAGAGAATGAATTAGATTTCAGGCAGAGAGACTAGCTTTTATGCAGGTCTAGACAAACTAGACTTAAGACAGTGGAGTTAAGATGGAGGAGAAACAGACAATACAAGAGAAATTTTGGGTGTCTCCAGCTATAGTGCCCCCTCCTTGCCGCCTAAATATGCCCAGCTGGTTCTTTCTCTAGGGTATTACTCTGGCTTTCCCTAGGTCTTTCCATGGCTGGCATCTCTTCAGTATTCTAGGATCATTTTACATTCGTCCTCCTCAAGAGGTACTGGCCCCATTACAACCACTCTGTCCACTCCACTGTATTAGTTTGCACTCCTAACAAATCACCGAAAAACGTAATGACCTAAAACAATAATTGTATGTTACCTAAGTTTCTGTGGGTCAGGAATTCAGTTAAGGTGCAGCAGGAATGGCTGTTCTCTCTTCAATGTCTGGACCTTGACCACAAGATGTGAAGGCAAGGTGTAGAATCATTACTTACATGGCCTGGCAGTTAAAGCTGGTTGTCAGCAGGGATGCCCCTGTATAGTCCATGTGACCTGGACTTCCTCACAATTTGAGCAGAGGGTTGAGCAGAGCATTCTTTTGGTTCAGGTAGTTACAGAAGTTTACTCAGATTTTGGGGTAGAAAAAAGTTAGGCTCCACCTCTTGAAAAAGTTCAACCACAGAGCTTGTAAAAAAGCATGAGGGGGTGGGATTATGTTGGTGTGTTTTCTTTAGAAAATGCATTCTGCCACAACTGTGTTTAAAGGCAACACTTAACATTTATTATCCCTGCCTTTATAGATATTTAAGAATCTTAAGCCCTTTAAAATTCAAGTTCATTTTCTTGTCTACACTCAAGAGAAATTGGAAACATCCACTTTAATACTTAGCCTTATTGATTTGTGGATTGTATACATACAAAAGCAAATTTTTTTAACTTGAGATTTGTTACGTGACTCAACTGAGCCATGCAAAGCTGTGTTGAATTCTGAACCTGTGCAGTCTGTGTAATACCAGGTACCAAGAGTAGTGACATATCTGTCCTTATCTTTTGGGGCTTGCCCTGGTTTTCCTCTGCTGACAAGGTGCAGTACTTCTGGTCTGATTGTGTGATTCAGAATGTGACTTCAGATGTCATTACAACAAAATGCACTTGAGTGGTGAGCTTTGGTCGAACATGAATCATAAGATGAAGTGTTTGCCCTACAAAAGAGAGAAACTACAGAGCACACATATGTTGAAAAGTTCAACCACACAGAATTGGAATGATCAGTGACAGTGAGAGACAGCAAGTGATGGCTCAGAGCATTCTACTTCAGGATGAAAGAAATTAGTTGTTCCTTAGTTCTTTCATTTGGCTCAGTTGCTAGTGAGCCTTATATTGGAAACCTTTCCAACAGTTACCTCCACAGGAATTGGTAGAAAATGCTATAAAGAAACAAGTAGAAGGGCCAGGCATTGTGGTACACACCTGTAATCCCAGCTGCTCTAGGGGTAAAGATTGGGAAGATCGCAATTTGAAGCCTACCATGGCAAAAATTTAGGAAGACCTCATCTCAACCAACAAGCTAGGTATGGTGATATGCGCCTGTGGTACAGGCTATGCAGGAGGCATAGGTAGGAGGATCACAGTTCCAAACCAGCCCTGAGCAAAACTGTGAGATCTTATCCAAAAAATAGTTAAAGCAAAAAGGGCTGAAGATGTGGTTCAAGTGGTACAGCCCAGCCTTGCATATGCGAGGCCCTGAGTTCAAACCCTAGTACTGCCAAAAACAGAAAAGAAACAAATAGGATGCAGGTACATTGAAAGCCTCATGATCAGTCATGTTCAATGTTTTGAACTGTTTTCCTCCTCAAAAGCTTATGTCTGTTCCTCAGCCAGATCCCCTGAGAGACCTATGACTGTCGGTGGGTGTAATGTCATTGGCAAGCAAGCCATCTCTGAAAGGAGAGACCCTGGCTTATGGTGGAGGTCATGTAGACAGAAAGTAGAGTGGCTGAAAGTGGACAGGATTTTCTCATTGCTCTACACTGTGAGAATCCACATGGAAAGTGACTTGTTGGAAGAATTTATGGAAAAGCAGATGTGTTGTCTAACCCTTTTAATGACACAGTGGCAGCATATCAAAGAGACAATTTCTGCAACACAGGTGTACAACTTCTTGGATGCTGTAGTTGAAGCAAATGAAAGAACCCATAGTATCAGAGTGCTACCTGGTGATGCCAGCCTCCAAGGTGGGGATGGCCGACTGGGCACCTGTGGCTCATGTCTGTAAACCTAGCTACTTGGGAAGCTGAGATCAGGAGGATCGTGGTTTGGGTGAATAGTTCATAAGACCCTATCTCCAAAATAACCAGAGCAAAAGGGACTAGAAGTGTGGCTCAAGCAAATGTGAAGCTCTAAGCTCAAACCCCAGTCCCACTCCCCTCCGCCCCCACCTCCAACCCCCGAAAAAAGGTGGGGCTGGCCAGAGGAAGATACTTGCGAGGTGGGGAGAATCATTCCAAATTGTTCTAAATTATTAAGGTACTAAACTATGGAATATCTAAATAGAGATCAAAGTCCTGATAGATTCAGTATCCTGTAAATCTCTTAGATTATTCCCTGTTTTTATGACCTGAATTCAGGCCCTTGTTTCTTAGCTGACTTAACACAGTCAAGCCTCCAGATTAGTCTCAGTCTTCCAGGCTACCTTCTGAGAATATAGTTACTCTGGCCCATCTTTGATAACATGTCTGTCTTTTGAGTTGACTTTCCAAGGGCCAAAGAATTAAAATATTCTGCGTGTATATAGAGGTAAATAGTATAGCTACCCTTTATATACATTGGAGTCTGGTAAGATACCCAGCCTTAGCATCACATTATTAAATGGCCAGATAATGAATCCCTAAGAGGTACTTCTGTAAATCAGAAGAAAATGTGCATCTAGGTATTTTTTTTAATGGAAAATAGTACATCTAAGTAAATGAAACTTTTTTAAAGGTTTAGGTGTACATTTGATTATATGAAAGGGATGGGAAGTGGGAAGGATCTTTGAAAATACCAGCATTCTTAGACTAAGCGGAGAAAATAGTCTGAGAAATAGAAGTCTAGTACAGATTGAGGAGCTAATCCTAGTAGCAGTGATCCTGCAAGCTCTAGTGGAATAAGGCTGAGAAAAGGCTCTGGATGGTTTTGGTGAATTTACTCAGAACAGTTTTTGTCAAGTCACCTAAGAGAGATTACTATGCACTAAACAGATAAGGTATTGTGAGGATGCCACTTAAATTGTGTCCTGTTAAAGACCTCTTCAGCCTGTTTCCTAGTCTGGCATGTGGATTGCCATCACTGCCTTTCAGATTATTGGGAGGATGAGCTTATAGAAGTTCTAGTAAAGTATCTGATATAGTATTGGTAGCAAGTGCTCATTATTGTTATTGCTATTTATTTTCATGATGTTTAATATCAAGCTGGTTAGAATCTCTAAGAAAATATATATATATATATATTTTTTTTTTTTTTTTCCCTTAGATTTGCGACTTTGGCCTGGCCCGTGTTGCAGATCCGGATCATGATCACACAGGGTTCCTGACAGAGTATGTAGCCACACGTTGGTACAGGGCTCCAGAAATTATGTTGAATTCCAAGGTAAGAACCAAGTTTGTATAAAAACAAAACCAGGAAGTAAATGAACCTTCTAAACGTGTAGCTGTGAACGTGTCTCTCTAAGCCTCAAATTCAGTTGAGACTTGGCTCATCTGGACAATCTTGTTCAGCGTTGAATTTTTAGACCCTGGGGTTCAGCCTCTGCCTCAACTGAAGTAATGCTAACCTGTTAGAGCGTCAGAAGGTTGCCTCTCCAGTCTCCAAGTGTCTCTCCTCTTGTCCATCCATACCTACTTCTGGCCAAGGCTGTCTTTGTGTTAGAAGTAACCAGCAATGTGTATTCCTATGAACATGGACCAGGTCTGTTCTAAAAAGATCAAATTTATCCTGTAGTATCACTTGTTGTACTTGAAGAAAACATAGATGAGCGAAGAATAGGAACCTGTATGAATTTCTTATTTTGAAATTGTCTTACTTCCAAATACCTCTTCTGCGTCTTTGAATTACTATGGAGAATACATTCAGTTTGTGTCCAAACTCTGCTAACAAGACCTATGTCTTGGTCTTAAGAAATGATCGAATAAATTTATAAAATCCAGAAAAAAGTGAAATATGATTTCTGTGTTGAATTATGATTCATTCAGTAGGCAAAAGTTGAGGACTGCTATGGAGTCCTATTCTATGCAAATAGAATGTGAATGGGGGGCGTTAAAATCAATAGTCTAAGCGGGCTTGACGTATTACCTATATCTAATATCTGAAGATAATGAAATTCTTAAATGTAGTTCTGTCTGCTATAGTGTAACTTTAAGGTGCAAGAAGAAAAGTAATGAAAATAGGTATTGGGCATCTAGGGCCGAGGAACCACAAATAATCCTGGGGGGCTTAGTGGAAATGAATAGATCTAATTAAATTAGTTCATAGGATTCATTCTCTTTCTTCATTCTTTATGAGTAGATCTGAGTTATTAGATTGTTTTTGAGAGGAAATGAAATTTGTTTAAAGTAGTTGCGCTCAATATACTACATGTGTTTAGTTATAAAAGCAAAATCCCATGGAAAGAAATTCCATTATAAAGAATTAGTGTAACAGATGTTTCATAGGAGAAAATGTTGTATTGATTCTCCTGTATCTCTGCATTGCAAATAATTCCACACAGCAAGTTCTTTCTCCAGTGGGCCACATGGCAGCCATTCCAAACTAGGAGCAATGGCATGCAGGTGTGCAGTGCTGGTTGTAAAAGAGATCTGTTGATGTGGTGTAGGTCATTTATTCTGGTGGCTTTTTGACCTTAAATCTGCACTCCAACTTGAGATAGCCCCAAATGCCTTTATCTCTTGATCACCCTCCAGAGGGAAGTAGCCAAAGAAGATAACTATAAATTCTTCTAGATGCCCAGTACTCCCTTCTACATGCCGAAAACTGGGTATAAATGTTACTTCTAACAGTGCATTCACTGTTTTGAGTCAGAGTCTTGCTATTTCAGGCCCAGGCTGGCCTTGAAATATTTTTGGTGGTACTGTGGTTTGATCTCAGGGCTTCATGATTGTTAGGCAGGTGCTCTACCACTTGAACAACACCTCCAGCCCTTGGCCTCAGACTTTTAATTCTCTTGCATCTGCCTCTCCACTGCTGCGCTTCCAGCCTCACTCTTTTTTTTTTAAGCACATTTTCAACCATACAGAAAATTTGAGAGTACAGTAAATACCTGGATATCCTTACCTTGATCTGCCCGCAGTTAACACCTTGTTTTCTTACCCTCCCTCCTTTTTATCTTCCTATCTCCTCATCTGATACTTTACCTACGTAAACTGGCACTTTACTCCTTGAATTTTTGAGGAACATTAATATTCCTAATGGAAGAGGATATGTTCTTCCCTGTAGCCATGATATCTTAGCACATCTAATAATCAGCATTAATAGGGTGTTGTTTTTTTGAAGAGTGTGAGTAAGCTGTTTTGTAGAATCGCTATCAGTTTTGTGTCATGTATTTTTGGGATTGATGCATTTTGGCCACTGGTGATTTTATAACTATCATTCTTTCTCTGTTTTAGTTTTCTCCATTTATTCTGTGATATATAATCTATTCCAACCATTATGTGTACTTGTCCCAGATTTTGCTGGAAAGACCCACTTTTGACATTTCCCTACTAGCATTGGGCCCTTCCTTGCTTTCTGGTATTAAGTATCCCAGGCTTACTTAGTACATTCACTGTCCCAGACCTGGAGTAGCTGTTTCTCCCAAAAGTCCTTATTTCTCTTAGATGTTTCAGTCCTTCTCTTTATTTAGCTTTGACCCAAAGCAAGAAGTATTTGGGATTATAAGAGTTTTAGAAAAATTATTTTAAAATTGAACCCATTTTTATCATAGCTGTAAGTTTCATCACTAGTTCTTTAGTTTTCCAAAAAGATTTCACTATATTTTAATGACTACTTACTCATTTGTTTTCTATAGGTATTTCTACATTTCTTCTTCCACTTACCACTATACCTAACATTTTCCCTAAAATGCAACTTGTGTTCTTTAGAGAAATACCATTTTTGCATTATGCTAAAAAATTTGCATTATGATTCAAACAATTCTTCTATGACCTTTATTTCCTTCCTTCGTTCTTCCTTCCCTTCTTCCCTCTCTCCCTTCGATGTTGGGGTTTGAACTCAGGGCCTCACACTTGCTAGGCAGGTACTCTACCAGTTGAGCCTCTCCGCCAGCCCTTTTTAGTGTTGGATATTTTCAAGGTAGTCTCTCTAAAACTTTATTTCTGGGCTGGCTTTGAACCAAGATCCTCATGATCTCTGCTTCCTGAGTAACTAGGATTACAGCCGTGAACCACTCACCTGGCCAGCAGAACTCCTTTAAAAGAATAGTTATACCTGAAAAATTAATATAAAAGATGAGAATACTGGTACCAACACCACACACTTGTTTTCCTCCATTTATTTATTTATTTATTTATTTATTTATTTATTGCCAGAGGTCAAGGTCTTTAGCCTGACCTTTTTGAAAATGATTTATGAGATGGATAAAGATACTCTGCAAGTATAACAGCAGTAACCCCTTCTTTTGAGTTGATTTCCAGGTTTCCAAAAATGCGTAAATCGGCTACAAATGTCCTAAAGCAATGAATGTTTTTACTTTTTGTAATATGTTTGTGTCTTTCTCTCAAATTGTTTGAAAATAATGATTGAAGTACATAAAAATTCTAAGTATACTTCAGAAATTCTAATTTAATAAGTTAATGTTGAAGAGAGGAGTAAAATTATTAAGTAATCACGATTGTTCAGCTGGACCCAGTCATCCAAGGTACTTGAAAGGATCACAGTTTGATGCCCTTCTGGACAAAAAACTTGTGAGATCCCATCTGAACCAATAAGAACCTGGGTGTGGTCATCCCCATAACATAAGACCCTATTCAGAAAATAACTAAAGCAAAAAAGGGCTGGGAGCATAGCAAAAGTGGTAGAATGCTTACTTAGTTCAAACCTCAGTACCTCAAAAATAAATAAAGTCTGATTATTTCATGCATTTTCATGCTGTCTCCATGTGTTTCTGAATTTGAGTCAAAGAAGAATCTCAAACTCTTACCAGCCACATGCCTGTCATGTAGAAAGATCTCATCAGCTTGTATGTACACCAGATATCATTCTCTGCCTTTTCTCTCTATCTGCTGCAGGGCTATACCAAGTCCATTGATATTTGGTCTGTGGGCTGCATCCTGGCAGAGATGCTGTCCAACAGGCCAATCTTTCCAGGAAAGCATTATCTCGACCAGCTGAACCACATTCTGGGTAAGGTTCCTAAACACAGTTTACATCAGAGTCCCATCATTAAATGAGGAAGAGTTCTAATTACTCTGTGACCTGTAATAGACACGAATTTTTTATTTTCTCTAATTTAAAATGTTAAAGATCTTTTGTAAAAACTTAAGAAGAGTAAGCATTGGGTGGTGGTGAGAAGACATTAAGTACCAGAGTTCCTTCTGTTCCAACCTGATGGTACATAGTTGTTTGCCTTTGTCTTGATAATTAACAGCTAATTATTTTATCTGATAGGTATTCTTGGATCCCCTTCACAGGAAGATCTGAATTGTATAATAAATTTAAAAGCTAGAAACTATTTGCTTTCTCTTCCACACAAAAATAAGGTGCCATGGAATAGGCTGTTCCCAAATGCTGACTCCAAAGGTAAATCTTATTTCATGGATTATTTTTTCTTAGGCTTAGTTTTGTTTGTTTGTTGTATTTTGTTAAATTGCCACGTCACTAGCCTGAATAGTCAGCCTGTGATTGTTGGGGTAATGCCTTATTTAAAATGTACTCACTCAGGGCTGGTGGAATGGCTCAAGTGGTAGAGTGCCTGCTTAGCAAATGTGAAGCCCTGAGTTCAAACCCAGTACCACCAAAAGAAACAAAACAAATGTTCTCGTTCTTTTTTCTTTTTTCTTTTTTCTTCCCCATGCCTCCTACCACTTGCTAGAGCTCAAGCGCAAAGCCTAACTCATGATAGGCACGTGCTACTCCTGAGCCATGAGCCATACCCCCTGGAAGGTTTCACATATTGGGGCATTTCAGATTTCAGGTCAGATGTGCTCACACTTGGATACTTTTTTTTTTTTGCTTGTTTATTAATTTATTCATATGTGTATACATTGTTTGGGCTATCTCTCCCCCTGCCCCCCTTACCACTTGGATACTTTTTGATCTTGTCATTTGATTTGTTATTAGAGAGAGGGTCTCTTTTTATACCCAGGCTGGCCTAGAAGTCTTTCAAATTCTAAGCATGCACCACCACACTTACTATATTTAATAATTTTTCAAGTTAAGTTTATGAAGGTTTTTTGTTGTTGATGGTAGGTTTTTTTGTTTCTGTTTTTGTGTTTTTGGTGGTACTGGGACTTGAACTCAGCCTCACGCTTGCTAGGCAGGCACTCTACCACTTGAGCCACTCTGCCAGTCCTGTTTTGTGTTGCATATTTTCAAAATAAGGTCTTGCAAACTATTTGTGAAGGGCTGGCTTCAAACCTCAATCCTCCTGAGCAGATAGGATTACAGGTGTGAGCCCAGCTATGAAGAATAATTTACATTAAGTCTTTTCCTTTTAGTTGTGTGGGTTTCTGAATGTTAACAAATGTGTTGCTATCCTATAACCACCACCACAGTTAATACATGGAATATTTCTATCATCCCTAAAAGTTGTCCTTTTCCCCTTACAGTTATTTCCTTCCCCCAGTCTCTAGCCATCACTGATCTGATTTATATCCCTATAATTTTGCCTTTCCCAGGATGTCATACTAATGGAATCATGAAACATGATGTCTTTTATATCTGCACTTTTTCATGCACTCAAGATTTATAAAAATGTATGTTGTCACTCATATCTCTCCTTACCAAATGATGCTAGAACAATTAGGTACCTGTTTGCAAAATATATATATATAATAAAAATACAAAAATGAAACATACACCTAAACATAAAGTCTAAAACTATAAAACTTCAAAGAAAAACATAGGACAGAGCTACATGACCTGAAGTTAGGTGAAAACTTCTTAGCTACACACCAATTTTTTAATAAGGTAATATTTTGTTACTTGGTTTTTTTTTTTTTGGTGATACTGGGGTTTGAACTCAGGACCATGCACTTGCTAGGCAAGTGCTCTACCATTTAGCCATACCCTCAGCCCTTTTTGCTTTAATTTACTTTTTAGATTGGGTTTTATGCTTTTGCCCAAGAAGGCCTATTTGTTTTGAAACTAGGTCTCACTATGTAACCCAGGCTGGCTTCAAACTCACTATCCTGCCTTAGCTTCTCAAGTGTTGGGGTTACAGACCTGTGCCACCATGCCCAACTTGGACAGCTATTTTCAGAAAACCTCATACTATTATAAAACTATGGTAGGCAGAATGACTCACTCCCCACTCCAAGATGCCCTACTCCCCATAATCAGTGAATGTGTTAGGTTGCTTGGCAAAGGGGAATTGCAGATACAAATTAAGGTTGCTCTGCATCTGACTTAAATTACTGAAATTGTGTAGATTATCTAACTGTAAATACAAGGGTCTTTAACAGGAAGAGAGGAGCTGGAACTGGGGCTGGTGACTCACAACTGTAATCCTAAAGAGATAAGGAAGATCAGAGTTCAAGGATAGCCTGGGAAAGACAGGATCTCGAAAATATCAAACACAAAAAAGGGCTGATGGAGTTGGAAGAATGGCTCACATGGTTGAGTACCTGCCTAGCAAGCATGAGGCCCTGAGTTCAAGTTCTAGTACTACAAAAAAATAAAACAAGGAAAGTAGAAGAGTATCTGCCTTACAAGTATGAGGCCCTGAGATTAAACTCCAGTACTACCAAAAAAAAAAAGTGTAGAAGAGGGAATTTGCCTTTCTGTATCTTTTTAATTTCTGCCGTACTGGGGATTGAACCGAGTCCCTCGCAATTCCTAGACAATCACTCAACCATTTGAACTGTGCCTCCTATTTCTTTTTTTACTTTTATACATATGTATATTTTTACCTAAAATTTAACCACAGCCTGGTAATACACATCTGTCACTTCAGCACTCACAAGGCAAGGCAGGAGAATCAAGAGTATGAGGAGTATGAGATCACCCTAGGCTATGTAGTGAGACCCTGTTTCAAAAACAGCAGTAATAATTTAAAAAGTAAACTTTTTGTAAAAAATCTTTTAATGACAGAAATATTTAAGAAGGTGAAATTCTTCTGAATTGTTCACTAAATGTCACTGTTAATAGAACTGTGTCTTGAATATCTGTCCGTTAGTACATAGACTTGGCTTATTTTTATAATAGTATTTCTAGTTAGTCTGATGTTAGAAATTTAGCCTTTTCTAAATTTTGTTGTTTATATGTTTGTGTGTGTATTCAAGAATATGTGCTTATGTATATTTATATGTATTTTTAATTTTAACAGCTGTCAATTTAGATGTTGAATTTATGTATGGACCTGAGTCAAGATTCAGAAATAGAGCTGGCAGCGTGTCTTAATAGCATGCTTGCCTAGCAAGCACAAGACCCTAGGTTCAACCCCCAGTATCCTCCGCCCCTCAAAATTTAGAAATACTTAACCTGTTTAGCATTGAATTTACTTTGTACATAAGAGAAACTATCTTTTTTTTAATCTCTGAGTTTCATCTGTGGTGTTGGGTGTGGTTGCTTCATTGTCATTGAGACGTAGTGCTATATTACAGGACTGCTCCACAGTTGATTTACCCTGGCTTTGTAATGCCGCCATTCGGGCCATTACCAGTTAGTACTGTCATGAGCATTCCTGTATGTCTTTAGATGAAGTTAAGTGCACATTTATGCTCCAATGTGTGTTGGGTATATACTTCTTAAAAAAATTTTTTTGTTTATTAGCATATATTATTGTACAGGGGGGTTTCATTGTGACATTTACATATGTGCTTAAATGTACCTTAATTAGATTCACCCCCTCCATCATTCCCCTTCTCCCCCTCTAAGAACAACTTTAGTAGGTTTCATTGTTCTACTTTTGTGCGCATATACAAAATACGTCCACCGTATTCATCCTCCTTCACCATGTCTGTTTATATAGTTCAGAAGTATAGAAAGAATAGGAAGATAGTAAGAAATACTCATAATTACCAGAATCCCAAAATTGCCTTCAAAATTTTGTTGTGTCAGTGCATACAACAAAATTATACATTTGTATGTAGAATTATATATAATTATATACTATATTAAGATTGTAGGTTTTTTTAGTTAGAACTTCACATGTATGACACATGTTGCCTAAATAATTATTTCCAGAGTTGCCTTCCTAAAGAAGTACATACATAACAAAACTGTTGTGTAGATCTACTCCAGGCTTCCCTCTTATGTTTACTTCCTCTTTTTTTTTTTAGATAGCCATTATTTATATCAAATTATTTCTGAGTCTTTTAGCTTATTTTCCTTAGTTTAAGGTCATGAATTTTGAGGTTGGTTCATCTGGGTAAGAATTCAGACCATTAAAATCCAGGAAATTAAGCCAGTGTAGTGGTACACACCAGTAATCTCAGTACTTGGGAGGTTGAGGCAGAAGGATAGCAAGTTTGAGACAATCCTGGCCTACATAGACAGACCCTGTCTCAAAAAAAACAAAACAAAAGTCCAAGAAATTAGTTTTGAAGTTTAAGTGTTGGATAAGTACAAAGAAGCAGCAGGGAAAACAATGAATAAAGGAGAAATAATTGGCAGTGCTGAGGTAAACACATGTATTTGAATCACATGATTTGTAGCCATACCTCCTGGGTTCAGTTTGCAGTCTAGCAACTTACTAGCTATGACAAAGTACTCAACTTGTGTGGACTTCAGTTTCCTCATTTATAAAATGGGATTAATGGTGGTATACACATCATAGGATAGTGTAAGTGTTCATATTACTAGTGTTCATAGGTCTAAACTGTTGAGATCTCAAGACTGAAACTTTTTCATTTATATATGCTGGAGATCTTCCCATATCTGTAGTTAATAAGAGTGACTGCATATTGATCTTCGTACGGATGACCCGTAATCATCTTTATCCAGTCTCATACTGGATATTGAAGTTCACATGAGCCTCTCCAAAATTCAGGGGTTTGGAATAACAACCACGTATTTGTTCATGAGTTGAGTTATTTGGGCTGGTATAGCTCGGTGGGTCTGCTGGTCCCTCTCCAGAGGGTCTGAGGTAGCCTCACCACCTCTGCTATTGTTCCTCCTTGTTGCCACCGTACAATAGGCTAGACTATACTCATGCAAGATATATTTTCCTGATGGCAAGAATGCCAGTGGCTCTCGCCTGTAATCCTAGTTACTTAGGAGGCAGAAATCAGGAGGATCAAGGTTCAAAGCCATCCTGGGCAAATAGTTCAAGAGATCCTATCTCAAAAGAACCATCACAAAAAATAGGGCTAGTGGAGTGGCTCAAGGTGAAGACCCCGAGTTCAAACCTCAGCACCACAAAAAAACAAACAAAAAGAATAGTCTAGAAGAGCAGAAGCTTCAAGGTGTCTCGAGACCAGGTCCCAGTACACCAATCTGCCACACTCAGTGTATAAAATCAAATCACTCTTGTCAACCCCGATTCAAAGGATGGGGAAATAAATCCTCTTGTTGATGAGAGGAACTCTAAAGAATTTGCCATATTTAACTAGCCACTAAAGTTGTTTCTAGTTTTACTA